TATATTTTTGGGGACACATCCACTCAAACAGAAATTAAAGTATTTGAAATTTCTTCAAAACTGTGACAATGTTTAATGATAATGGAAAAATCCCTTCATCTCATTATCTTTATTTTCCATGAGAAAAATGAAATTCGTCTTTTTATAGAAATAAATATAAAAAATATACTGAACCATTTTTTCTAAAGATAAATTGATGTATTTTAATATTCTATACCAAAACTACTGAAAAACCATTAGAAAATTTTGCACATATAGCTGAATATACATATGCATATATTAATACAAAGCAAATAAGAGCCTAAATATAGACTATATAACAAATTATTTTGAATATTTTCAAGTTATATAAAAAAATAATATTTTATATACTAATTGAAAGACTCAGATTCGCTCAGCTTCTAAGGCTTCTCAGGTTCTAAATGGTCACAATCGCAAATTGTTAATAAATAAGGATATTATGATGCATTATCGCGCCATCTGTTATTAAAATTCGAAACTATTATAAAAACTTAATTAAAAAAAATTATCGTTTCAATTTTAATTTTTTAACTATTTTTTATATTCGATCAAAATTTATTTCAACCGCGTGCAAAAAAAAAAAAAACATGGAGATACCGGGGATTGAACCCGGGACGCTCTACCACTGAGTTACACCCCCATAACCCTGCTTTATTTTTTAAAAATCATACGCGTCTATAATAGTTTCGAATTTTCATAAATAAGGATATGGATAAAAGTAAAGCAGAGTTATGGGGATGTAGCTCAGTGGTAGAGCGTCCGCTTTGCATGTGAAAGGTCCCGGGTTCAATCCCCGGCATCTCCATGTTTTTTTTTTTTTTTTTTTGCACGCGGTAGAAATAAATTTTGATTGAAGATAAAATATAGATTAAAAAATTATTATGGAAAAGATATATTTTTTTTTCAAATAAATTTTTGTTTTACATTTTTTGAAAATTCTTTTGTCTGATGATGCCACCCCATGGCAGTCTTTATTCAAGGCACAATGACTGCTCAGCTATACATTGTAGATGCGTAGCAATCTGTTATGTTACCATTTCTTGAACATACTAATTATGCCATTTATCCAACAAGATAATGCCTGACCACATACAGCCAACATCTCACGAGCTTTCATCCAAAATGTTGACATCCTTCTCTGTCCCGCATGTTCCCCAGATCTTTCCCCAATTGAACATGCATGGGACACGATGGGAGGAAAATTTTGAAATCTTCACAGCCAAGTAATCTTCAACAGCTTCGGCAAAAAAACTGAAATAGCTTGGTCTAGCATCCCACAAGAAGCCATAAATAAACTGTAGACAGTATGTCTCGCCATGTAGCTGCTTGTATAAGTGCCAAAAGAGGACACACCAAATATTGATAAAAGCTGTGTATCTCGATAAATTTATATATACACTGCGTGACATTGAAAATGGAACACCAAGAAATAGTGGCCAGAAAATTATGCAAATTTCAGGGTAGACGCGCCTAACCGAGTTATGCAAATGATGTAAAATGCGCAGCTCTCGTGCGCACATGGAGTAAGATATAAGGGAAGGAACTTGCAGAAAGGACAGTATTAGTGTCGTTATTTCTTCAAGGAAAATCATTGTAGAAATTTTGTTCTTGTGTCCAAAGACACGTGTAATAACAGAGAATGCCAGGTCATCGTAAACGGAGGCAGTTCAAGCAGACAGACGCTTTTTCGAGGGCATGGTGATCGGACTGAAAAGGGCAGGTTGGTCCATACGTCAAATCGCAGCTGATACACACCTTGGTGCGTCCACGGTGCACCGACTGTGGAGAAGATGGTTGGAACAAGGAAATGTGGCAATTTATAGGAATGTCGGTGCAACCAGAGTGACGTCAGCACGTGTGGATCGGCGTATCCTTCGACAAGCAGTGGCGGCCCCACAAGCCACTTGTACCGCCATCCTGCAACAT